AGTAGTACTCCATTTTATAAAAAAAACATATTTTTTTTTGGATAAAAAATTCTTGATTGGTAGTGTTTTCTTTTGGCTTTTAAAAATATATCACCCCCTTGCTTTCTGACCTTTATGGTTTCTGAAGAGAAATCTGCTGTCAGTCTTATTGAGGATCTCTTGTATCTGATGAGTTGTTTCTCTCTTGCTGCTGTCAAGATTTTTGTCTTTTACTAGTTTGGTTCTAGTGTATCTTCCTGTGGATCTGAGTTTATTCTACTTGGAGTTTGTTGGAATTCTTGTATATATAGCTTCAGTTCTTTGATCAAATTTGGAAAATTTTTAGTCATTATTTGTTCAAATATTTTTGCCCCCTTTTCTCTATTTTTCTCAATAAACTTCCACAATGGGTTTGTTTGTTGGTACCTCTATGGTGTCCGATAGGTTCTTTACTTTCTGTTCTTTTTTTTGTTTTGTTTTGTTTTGGTACCAGGGATCAAACTCAAGACCTTGTGCTTGCAAGGCAGGCATGGTGCGACTGAGCTAAATCCCTGGCCCTCATTTTTCTTCATTCTTGCTTCTTTCTGTTACTCAGACTAGGTAATTCCAGTTGCCCCTTCTTCAAGTTCATTTATTTTTTTCTCTGCCTTTTAAATCTACTGTTGAACTCCTTTGGTGAATTTTTCATTTCAGTTATTGTACTTTTCAGTTTCAGAATTTCTGTTTGGTTCCTTTTAATAATTTCTGTCTTTTTATTTGTATTCCTTACATTTTCATTTGTTTTCCCTTAGTTTTTGGCCATAGTTTTCGGCCATAGTTTTCTTCACTTTTTGAGCATATGTAAGACTGTTAAAATCTTTGTCTTGTATGTTTTCTCTTAATTTTTTGTCCTATGAATGGGCCATACTTTTCCTGTTTCTTTGTATGCCTTGTAATTTTTGTGGTAGCTCTGGAAATCAGATTCTTTCTCTACTCCAAGAATTGCTGATCTTGTTTAGTGAGTTTTTGAAACTATTTTTGTAAGGACTGTTTCTTAGCTCAGGTTGCTGTAACAAAATACCACAGTCTAGGTGGTTTAAACAACAGAAATCTATTTCTCACAGTTCTGGAGACTGGGAAGTGCTGCAATTTGGGTTTTAGTTCACTTCTCGGTCAGGGCCCTCTTCCTGGCTTGTGGATGGTGTCATCTTCTATGTTCACACATAGTGGAGAAAGAGAAATCTGGATCTCTTTCTCTTCTGAAACTAAACCTGTCATACAAATTTTACTTTCATGAACTTATCTAACCCTAATTACTTGTCAAAGGTTTTTACCACTAATACCATCACATTGATTGTTAGGGCTTCAACATGAATTTTTTGGGGACACATTAAGTGCATAATAGACTACATTCTTGGTTGTGGCTGTTGAAGCCACCATTCTGTTATTGCCATGGATAACCAATGGCTTGACAAAATTTCTTGATTAGCTATATCCAATAGGAAAAGATAAATAAGCTATTAATTTTGAACTGGAAATATTGGGAGAATAATGGATGGAATATTCTGGAATATGAACTGATCTGGGGAAGTGGTATGGATTAGAGAAGTGATTTTTATATTTATTCCTCTTTAGTTTGTGGAAATACCCCATGAACAATTAGATTTATGATTGACGTTTAGGAGAGGTCAGGTTTGGAGACATACAGATTAAATGTAAATATGTGCCATCAGGAATCTAAAGGTCTAATGTTACTTGGGTATTTATATTTTTAAACTAGGAGTTTATATGTGTATAATATAAAAACTTCAAACATTTTCATTTTTGCAGCAAAGTTCTTTATTAAACACCAAAATTTAGGGAAAAAGCTAGTCATTGAAAAATCATGGAATTATATTATGATGTTTTAGATATAAATTTTAAACTGAATCAGAATAAGTAAAATTAATCATGTTTAACACATATTCAAATGATGGTGTTTCTCAGCTATATTTTGAAAAATTTTGAAAACTTTCAGAAAAACTGAAAGAGCAGTACAGTAGCATTCATGTATTTTTAAGATTTACTAATTAATGTATTTTCCACATTAATTTCTTGTTCTCTTATATAAAGCTGTGCTTTATCCTTATACAGTTTGAAAGTAAATTTCAGCTGTCATGACACTTCACCCTTAAGCACTTAAACACTTAAACATTTTTAAGACTAAAGTCATTTTTCTGTGTAACCATAATACTTTTAACACTCAAGAACTAACCTTCACCAGACATATTACTTAAGATGTAGTCTGCTTAGCTGTTTGCTGCTGCTATAACAAAGCCAGAAACTAAGTATTTTATAAAGAAAAGAAATTTATTTGGCTAATGGTTCTGGATGCTGGGAGGTCTCTACTTGTTGGTCCTTGTTTCAGCATCCCATAGTGGAAGACAGAAGAGCAAGAGTACAAGAGCATAAGAGGGGCCTGAACTTGCTTTTTAAAATCCACTCTTTTTTTTTCTAAGAATCCATTTTTGAGTTAATGTCAGTAATCTTTTTATGAGGGCAGACCTCTCAGGACCTAATCTTCTCTTAAAGGTCCAACCTCTCATCACTATTGCATCAGGGATTAAATTTCCATCATACAAATTTTGGGGAACATATTGAAACTATAGCATAATCCATAGTCAAATTTCTTCAGTTGTCTTTTACCTTTTCTTTTTAAATTCTCATTGCAAGGTGAGTTAAGAATCATGTATTTTATCATGTTTTTTTCATGCCTCCTTTAATCTGTAACAGACCCCTGCATTCTTTGATTTGCTTTTTTCCTTCCATGGAATTGACATTTTTGGAGTCTAGGCCGGTTGTCTTATTGAATAGCTCGTAATCTAGATTGAATTCTTTCTCCATGATTAGATTCAGGTTAAACATCATTGGCCAAGAATAGGATATAGATGCTGATGTGTACTTCTAGTTAAATCATAGCGGAAGGCATGTGATGTCAATTTGTTGAATTACTGATGACACTAACTTTAATCATGGGTGAAGATAATTTCTGCTGATCTTCTTTCTGCAAAGATACACTTTTGCCATTTTAATAAACACTTTTGTGTAAATACTCCAAAGTAGTAAGCAGTCTGTGGAGTAAAAACTATTGTGTGGATTTTCTATAACTTGATCCTAAGTTTTAAAGTTGAACTAGTAGGTTTTCAGGCTCATATAGATGTAAGGTATGAATGGAGTATAGGATGCACAAGGGAAAGGGTGTTTGCAAAATGGGTATGGACAGATAGAACTTTGGTGTCCTGCTGAAATAGTAACAGTTGAAGGTTTTAACCAGGTGCTGATTAGGGTAATGGATTTGGGCTTGAAATTTAAAAATATAGTTTACACAACAATCATTTGGGAGGTTATTCCATCTAAGCTGGATTCCCTGAAAGAGGAAGAAGATTTGAGAAATATTTGTGAGGTTAAAATGGACAGAATTTGCTCACTTGCTGATCATTATGGAGATTGAGTCTCTTGGTTATACAGTATTTAGTAGGATTTCCTGACTCACTGATTAAATTATTTGAAGTATAACATTTAAGGCATTAGATTTTATAAAAGCATTTGAATGACAGGGCCTTTTGGCTTCTATTACAGTTTGTCTTATTCTTTGTACTTACTACTTTTTTGAGGACCATTTGAATGACATTAACAATGGGATTCTGTTTATGGGAGAATTTCTTGATTTATTCTACTCAAAATGTGCTCTCAGAGCTTCCCTTATGCCTTTGAATAGGATAGAATAATTTGGTACAATCTCTTAAAATTGTTTTACTAGGTAGAATAAAATTTTTGCTGTGAATGATCTCCAAGCTCACTTTGACCATTAAAAATTCTGATTCTGTGGTGTATTTTTCTCAGCCCATTTTATTTCCTGAAATTTTTAAATTTTTTTTTATGTTTTTCTAAGATGTTCTCAGTGCAGCTGAGTCTTGGCGAGCAGTCATGGGAATCGGAAGGAAGCAGTATAAAGAAGGCCCAACAAGCTGTTGCTAATAAAGCTTTGACTGAATCTACGCTTCCCAAACCAGTTCAGAAACCACCCAAAAGTAATGTTAACAATAACCCAGGTATGGAAATGACTTGTTTGCTTCTGTTATGTTGGGTGCTGAATGCACTGTTCTCTGTGTATTATTTAAATAGCCGGCCAGAAGCACAGTCACACATGTTAATAGTGTATGTGAGCTTGTGCACACGCACGTGCATGACTGAGTAACAGTTTAGGTGAGAGAATGAAGAAGATAATTACAGTTATGTATTTTTAAGTTTTTGCTCAGTGGATAATATAAAGGTATATTATTTACTTTTTAAATGTTGGTAAAAGTGAATGAATACAAAGCAAATTTGAGTGTTTTTTCAAAAAATAAAAATAGAAATGATCCATTTATCTTTTCAAATATATAATATGCAGTTTTATTAATTAATATAAGTTATTATCTAGTTTACAAAATTATAAAAGCAGCCCTAGGTATCTTATTAAATATTTTGTTGGTGTAACATTTTAGAAATGGATAGTCAATTTAGAACATTTTTATGAAGTTTATTACAAAACCACCTATGTGCAAAATGCTAAGTAAATTACTGCTCTAATTTGAAGTTCTTAGAATAATTTTTAAAAGTGTTGCTTTTTTTTTGTTTTTTTTTTGGTACTGGGGATCAAACTTGGGTCCTTGTGCTTGTGCAGCAGGCAGCAAAACCACTGAGCTAAATCCCTGGCCCTGTTTTGTTTTGTTTTGTTTTTACTGCATACAATACCAACAGCTTTTATACGTTCAAATATGTCCACTTATTTTTTGGGACGAGCCAAATCTGTATTGGGCATAGTGTATTAGTTCATAATACTAAGTTCATAAAGTTCCTGTAAGGTTGGTACTAGCCATATATCCATTTACTCATTCATTAACTTATTAATGCAAGTCTTTATATTCTGATCAGCATTAATATTACCTTAGACATTTTTGTGATAGAGTTAAAAAAAAGACATTGTACCTGCCAACAGAGACTCCAGAATTTATTAATTTTAGTTCCAGAGCTTATACTCATATAAAATCACATAGACACATATTTTTTATGTGGCCTGTGCTAGGTAATATAGTCTTCCCTTTCAAGCACTACTCTTTACAGAGTGTGATAACTTTCCTAGTAGGAGACCCTTTGCTTCTGTTCAGCCAATTGCAGTATTCATTAAGTTAAATAAGCAGAAATATTATTACAATAAAGAAGCTTATTCTGTTCAGTTTGGAAGTTGATGAGAGATTGTTTACTTCTTTAATTTTGAAGAACTTCTTCAGATTACTGGTTGATTATTACTGTCACACCACCACCACTACTAGTTATTAAGCACTTACTTTTACATATGTGTAAAGTAAAAGTACATATCTATGAAGTCCTTTTCTGTGAGCATCTTGTAGTCTTTTACATAAACACGTAAAGATATGTGCCAAGTGAATAATAAATAGTAAAATGTTGTAGGAAATGATAAACATTGCTGAAGTAAGATATGAGCCTTCAGTGAAGAATAGCCCCAGGCAGAGGAGTGGGGACAACATTCTAGACTGAGAGACTATTGTGCTATGACAAAGACATTGGAGCAGGATCCTAGACAATGGGTTTAATTAAAAAAATTTTTGGTAGATAGTTTTTAATTACAGTAAGCAAGTAATGAGGCTGTAGCTGTAGATAAGGATTGGACTATGATGGACTCAAATGCCAGGTTTACAGGATTGAATTTTTCTGTAGTTTGGGGGAATTAATATTTATGAACAAGCAAATGATAGGTTTAAAAGAACCTTTTAGAGTGGATGCTTAGCATGTGCCCCTGGGTTCAATTGCCAGCACCAAAAACCAAAATAAACCCTACAAAACATCTTAGGATGTTCAACTTAACATATGACTGGAAGGTGGAAGATAGTAAAAGAAGCAATCACTTAGAAAATCAATGCCAGAGTACTATGGGCAAGAGTCAGAGCATGGAAACACAGGAGAGTCTGAAGGACCAGGGGAGATGTTTCTACTGTTGACTGCTGCAGTAAGCTAAAAAAAAGGATAGATTAGTTTGGGTAAACTTATTACACATAATCAAGTGCACAGATTAAAGCTGTAGTGTTTTAAGTTTTATACTGTGAACACTACCTCAGTCTTTACCATTGCCTGAGAAGCCTCCTCCATGCCTCCTTCAGTTGGTTAATCCACTCTTGAGGAAACCACCATTTTGATTTCTGTCAGATTATTAGCTGCCTGTGCTTATTGGAATCATACACTAGACTCTTGGGAGAGCTTGTTGCAATGTTATATTTGTGAGATTCGTGTGTATTGTATTTAAATTATTTTAATTGCTATGTAGTATTCTATTGCATGGATATAACATAGTTTATTTATTCATTATACTGTGTGTGTGTGTGTGTGTGTGTGTGTGTGCGTGTGCACGCACGTGCATGCACATGTGTGTATTTGTGTGGGTGTTGCTGGGGATGGAACTCAGAATCAGGCACATGCCAGGCCAGTACTCTTATCATTTGAGTTACACCTCCAGTGCACTTTTTCATAATGCTTTTGATAGATATTTGGATTGTTTCCAGTTTTGGGCTATTAGAAATGCTACTACTATAAACATTCTTGTGTATATTTCTTTTGGGAATATACCTGGGATTAGAGCTTTTGGGTCATAGGCTATGCATGCACTCAGCATTAATACATAAAGTCAAACCTACTTACTTCCTATCATCAGTATAGGAAATCTTTCTACATTCTTAATACTTATATTGTCAACTTTCAGAATTTTAGCTGTTATGTTGAGGGGTTTAATAGTAATTCATTGTGGTTTTAATTTACATTTCCCTAATAACTAATAAAGGTGCTTGTTTTAAGTACCAGGTGCCAGTTGATGGTGTTATATGCTTGTTGGCATTAGGATAGCCTCTGTCGTAAAGTGCTAGTTGGGATGTTTTTCTCATTTAAAAATCTGCATCATCTGTTTTTAATTTGTTTAAAAATTTTTTTATTGACATGGGGTTCATATATATTCTGGATTCTTACTCTTTGAAGGATATGTGTGTTACAGACTTATTTTTTATTCTTACTGGTGCATTTTCATGAATAGAAATTTTTTTTTTTAAAAGTTCCTCATTGTATTTATTTATTTATTTGGTACCGGGGATCGAACTCGGGTCCTTGTGCTTGCGAGGCAGGCAGTGGAACCACTGAGCCAAATCCCCAGCCCAGAAGTTTTTTATTTTAATGAAGATTTTTCTTTTATGGTTAGTGCTTTTTTTTGTATATTGTTTAAGACATCTTGTCTCCTGCAAGGGTATGAAGGTAACCTCACATTTTTAGAGACTATTTTAGGTCCACAGTCTGTCAAAAATCAAGTTTTATGTATGATATTAGGTAGAGTTTGAAATGTTTTCTTTTCAGAATAGGGACATTCAGTTAACATAGCACTTATTTATTGAAAAAGCAGGTCCATTCCCTTCTTCACTGCAGAGGCTTCTTTGTTATAATCCAGGTGACTGTAACTCATTATTCAGGCCTAGAATCTGTAGAGCAGGGGCCGGGGATTTAGCTCAGTGGTTCTGCCGCCTACCTCACAAGCGCAATGTCCTGAGTTTGATCTCCAGTACCAAAAATAAAATAAAATAAAGAATTTGTAGAGCAGAAGAGATGCAGTGATGACTCCTCAGTGTGTAGATGGGTCTTAAATAATAGTGTAGCCCAGAGAAGAGTTAAACTCATTCACAGGGTGGTTGATTTGGCAACTAATTAGAAATATATCTTAAATTGTTTTGCCTTCTAATTCCTTTTTTTTGTTAACTTTGGACCAATTTTGGATTTATATAAAATATGTAGAAATAGTACCACTGTTTGCCCAGATTCCCCAGTGTTAGCATTTCTGAGCCATCTGAGAATAAGTTATAGCATGGATGTCTCATTACTTCATAGTATTTGGGCTAAGAAATCAAAGGAAGTTACTTGATTGGAATTACCATTTAGGCTGTAGACTCCATTCATATTTTACTGATTGTTCCAGTGATATCCTTTAGACATACCTAATCAAGATCATATGGTAAATGTACCTATCATTTTTCTTCATTTCTCTTCAATTTGGAATAGTTCCTCTGTCTTATCTTTTATGACTTTGACATTTGTGGGCAGGAACCACAAAGTTTATAGAATTGTCCTTGAGTTTGCTTGGTGTTTCCTCGTGATTTCTTCATTTTTAGCATGAACACTGCATAAGTGACCTGGACTTAGCGCTTCTTATCAGGAGACGCTATTGATTCTTCTAGTTAGTGATTTTTGTCATGTGGTGAAGAATATGTGTGCCACACTCTCTACAGTAAAGTTAATTGATGAGTATGTTTTGTTAATTTGTAGTAAGTAAGGGGGCAGGGAAGTAGCTCAGTGGTGCTGTGCCCGCCTGGCAAGTGCAAGGTCCTGAGTTCAATCCCCAGTACCGGAAAAAAAAAAAAAGTACTTTTAGAGGAATATATTTTCAGATTATACATATACATATAGATAGATAGATAGATATAGATATAGTTCTGTTCATTAAACTGTATTTTGCTTACCAGATTTACCATCTACTGATAATTCTTGCCTCAACCAGTTATAACTTGAAGGTTGCCAAAGGATGATTTTTTAAAATGCCGATATTCTTTCTCTATATATATATATTAGCTGGCATTGTACTCAAAAGAAGAAGCTTCTCTTCCCTTTTCTGTCTTTTGCTGTTGTTGTTGTTTATATCACTGTAGATTCCTGGATTACTATTCTACTTGCAGATTTATGTTACTATCATTATTTATTTTGATGCTCAAATTATCCTGTTTCACCAGTGGCATAATCTCTCCGAGTTGACTCCTGTGTCCTGATATTTCCCTGTCATTGTTTTAGGTATCGTACTTCTTATTATTTTTGGTAACGGGATTGAACTCAGGACCTTGTGCTTTTGAGGCAGGCGGTAGAACCACTGAGCTAAATCCCTGGCCCATGTACTTCTTATTTTAAGGCGTAGTAAAGTGTTCCTAAGGTCATCTTGTGTTTTCCTAGTTCCTGCTGTGTAACTAGCCAT